TTTCAGGACCCCACCTTGATGTTTCAGGACCCCACTTTGGGTCCCGACCCCAACTTTGGGAAACACTGTTTTAGAGAAACACTTCTCACCCAAGTGAACTTGGAGAGTCTTCAAACGTCTGGATGCTGATAAGAGACAGAGGTAAAGAAAAGATCAAAAACAGGAGGTGACCAAATGATATCTATGAACTGTATCTAGGACACAAAACTGAAAACAGGATTACACAAACATAGACATCATTAAAATAATACATTTTATGGTTATGGTTTAGGTTAGGGTATGGGGTGAAAGCTCCATGTCCACAGAACTAGAGGTTTTCTCACTAGTTTCCTAATGCATGCTGATATTGTTTGCAGAACAACAGAACAATGCACTCTTATTTTTTTCTTTTAAGAATATACAGAAATATAATTCCTCTGTTTTCCATTTTTTACTGTGTACTTTGTAAAAATTTAAATGAACTTAATCCCTAGTGAAAAGTGACTGCTATTATGAGAACTTTGTGAAGAATTAAAAAAAGCTTAATTGAGGGAAGAAAGTGGCTGAGCACATATCACCTACACTTGTGCTAGCTAAGAGTTCCATTCATTCACCTAATTTAAATAACGATCACAACATGAGACAAGACAACTGAATAGAAAACAAAAGAACAAAATCTCAAACAGAGCAACAGAGGAAGAACTCCAGTAAAAACAGAGGCAGAAGTGATGTTGTGTGTATTGTGTGTTAGTAAAACAAGATAGATTTTGTTCAGCAACATGTGGCAAGAATCTACAGGGCTTTGTTAACTTTTGCTAGAATATACTACAAAGACAATATTACAGCTATGAAATCAGCTCATAACAGCAAAAAAAAAAAGAGAAAAAAATCATGCACACCAATGAATTATTAACAACCTCTTTGTCTACTTTCTGAAATGCTCTGTGTGAGATTCATGTGTATGAGCATGCCCACCAGTGTGTGCTTGATGCAATGTAACACATATGTGCATGTAACAACACTGGCGGATGGTGTAAATAATAGATGAAGGTATAAACAGGAAGCAGAAAGCTCTTGAGCTCTCCGAGTGTGTGCATTTGTGTCCTGCGGGTTGTGTGCAGGCAGAAGACGAACAGCACAGACAGATGGGTAATTATCAGGCTGACGACTCGAGGGTCTTTGCCACTGCAAGAGACACAAAGCGTTTGTGTATAGGGCAGATTTTGCATCAATGAATTCTACAAGGTAAAATGAGGATTAGAAAAGGATTTTGGTAAGTTTACAGCCCACAATCGAAAGAATATTACTAGAAGGAGAAGATAAATAAGCTACCTTTTTAGACTTCTAAAACAAAATGCACATAATCCCATTTTTTTGTTTCTTTTCATTTGTGCTCTTTCCAAAAGATTGAAGCAACTGTTCTGATTTTGAGAACAATTGTGACCTTTTGCGAAAAGGTCGTAAACAAATAGCTTGCTTGTGGTAAATAGCATAGCAATAGCAGTTAGTAGAAATAGAGTTGATTTTTAAATGGCTAGGGAAATGCTGATGTCTTAAAGCTACTTCAACTTCTGCAATCTCTGTTTTTATAAACTTGTACTCCACTTAGACTTTTGCAACAATGGTCAGTTAAATAGTATTATGCGCTTATTAGCAGCTATCTTTCGGGACAGCCTTCACGAACGATCCAAATCTTTTGAACAGCTCCTTACAGCCAATCATAAGAAACAAGTTCCTAAAACTGAGTTGTGGACAGTAAAGAGCTATTCATGGTTTTATTTCTTTTTACTCCTCGTAATATCTTTCTTTTTTCCTCCTTAACCGCAGAGATAAGATTCTTCACTTTTTCACAGAAAACAGACAGAGGGGGGAGTACAGCCAGCCACTCAAGGGAAAAGGGGGAGGGGGGTTGTGCTTGACAAACCCATGGTACCGCCCTATGATACAAACGGCTCCTCAAGATCCAGAACCCTTCAAAGAGCCATTCTCAAAGCTTGGGTCACATCCTGCTGGAATGTTATCAATTTTTTACCAGAGTGACCATGTAATGTGAAGTTTACCAAGGTGTAAAGACTGACAAACTACACTGTAAAAAATAAAATGTTGGATTTACTTAACCATGTTATGTTACCTGGTTCCACTTAACTGAGTTGAGTAAATTCAAAGCAATATACCAGTTTTTTAGCCAAAGAACATGAGTATGTTGCTTTGAATTTACTCAACTCAGTTAAGTGGAACCAGCTAACATAACATGGTTAAGTAAATCCAACATTTCATTTTTAGAGTGTAGCAATCAGAAGAGCTGTCACATTTCTTTTGAGACTGAAGTTTAAAGATGACCCTTTTAAGCTGTCTACAGTGGAAAATACAAGACACTACTTGTCCAAAATCATTTGAAGAACAGTACTCTAATACAGTGTTTCCCAAAGGTGGGGTCGGGACCCAAAGTGGGGTCCCGAAACATCATGACGGGGTCCTGAAAAGATTTTCTGAATTAATTACATTTTTGCTTTAGTTGTTATAAAAGAGTGAGGTTAGTATATTTAAAATGGATAAACGTAGTATAAAAATATTGTTACTATGCCCATGTTTAGTTGACCTGATACAAATGTTTACCATCCAAAAATAGCTGGGGGCACAGGTCTCTGGTACTGTTATTTTGTGGGTCAAAAGCTGAAAAGTTTGGCTTGGGACCCAATTATGGGTCAAGAAGCACCTTGGATAATCTCCAGAAATCAATTTAAAGGGTAAAGAAATAAATATTGATGTAATATTTTCCCTATAATTATTACAAAAACACAAAATAAGTATAAATAAGTATTTATATTTGTGTACAAGCTGTTTAGATTGTCAAAAGAAAGCCTGTGTTTTTAGGGTTATTAATGAAGTTTGTGTACTCAGACCAGTAATTTTTGGGGTCACAAGTTTTTGCCATGGATATTTTGTGGGTCAGAAGATAAAAAGTTTGGGAACCACTGGTCTAATAGATATGAACTATCCCTTTCAGTACATGTGCTGCCTCCATTTGCTTTTGTTCATGCTTTTCTGGGAGAGGTAAGCTGTACCAGCTGTATAAAAACTGCTGGCTGTGTCTCTCTCCTATATACAGTAAATTACACACAACTGCTCATCCCCATGGATGCACCTGCAAGCATTTAAAGTGGATACTTACTGCATGCAATCATTAATACCATTGTGCAGAACACCTTAACTTTGCCTTGCTAAACATGTTTTTAGTGCCAGGTTCTTTTCTTTTGTATCATCGATAGTACTCTTTCAGCAAATGTAGAATCCTTCAATTATTACAACGAAGTCTTGTTGAGCAGGGCAGGACACAGACTTACTGCTTGTGTGCAACACTTAATCAGAAATGTTGATTATAATTCCTCTGAATCAGTCGGTGGAGTCTAAGCGTGTGTGATTCTAAGTAAAGTTGGTGCTGTCTGTCCTGTAAAAGTGTACAACAAAACACAAGTAGAGGCAAGTAAAGCCATTCGTTGATACCTTCTAAGCATGCAGCTTCCTCTCAAGTACACGTTTACATCAGCTCAACTGTGTACACTCAAGGGACTGTTGTGCTAAATGAAAGATGATTGCTTCTGACTTATTTAGTCCAACTTCCACTGCAAAAAAAATCACTGACTTCCACCTGGCTTGTGTGTTTTCCAAACAGAGGAGCTGCTAAAAGATGAGCTTTTCCTTTTTATTTGTTCTTTTTTCCAGCTGTCACTAAAGCAGTTTCAACAAAAATATGGTTTTCAATATGAACTATGTTAGTGAGTGACTTGATATAAAAAGTTGAAAACATATTTAACTGACCTTCCATAAAGTGTGCACTGACCATTTTCATGTATTTTAAGACAAAGCTTAAATTCATCACAGTATTCTCTGTCAAGTTGATCAATATTACATTCTTCAAGTCTAATAAAAATATTCAGAGTTATGTTTGATTTAGAAATATACTGAAATGAACTGTAATTTGATTTGCTTCTAATCTTAACATTTAAAAAATCTTAAATAGGATGGTTTTGCATACTTAGAACAAGTTTATTTTTATCATTGTGAATCATGAAATATGAAAATGAGTTTTTCAATTTTCTTACTCGTCCAAGCTAATGTAAAGTGCATGTAGAACTATTCATTTTTTTGATCGAAAGTACTCTTACATTATTTAATGTTGTGAATAATATAATAT